AAGGACAGTAAATGCAAGAAAAAAATATGTTTTGCTAATGAAAATTTAACTTTACATTATTTAACACATTTAAGTATTGTAATATCTACATTAATGTACCCCCTTGTGGCTCAGAAGTAAGTTACTAAAGATTGGGTTTAATATTTATGGCACAATAGCACACACCTCAGTGACACATCGGCATGCCTGCGGACTTGCAACGCTAGAAACCGGGTTTTGATACACTTGGTAGGTAGAGCACAGATAGCCCCTTTGTGTATCTTTGTACTTAATTCCAAACAAACAAAAGACAAAGCACAGATAATCCATTGTGATGCTTTGTACTCAACAAGAAACACAGAAACAAACCCTATTTATGAATACTAATGTTGTTCATTTTTGGGAGTTAATTAAATGATAATTGTGTAAGTTTAATGTATAATTGTTTTTGTGTGTGTATGTGTGATAAGATTGTTTAAATGTTAATTGTGTAAGTTTAATGTATAATTGTTTTTGTGTGTGTATGTGTGATAAGATTGTTTAAGTGTTAATTGTGTAAGTTTAATGTATAATTGTTTGTGTGTGTGTGTGTGTATGTGTGATAAGATTGTTTAAATGTTAATTGTGTAAGTTTAATGTATAATTGTTTTTGTGTGTGTGTATGTGTGTGTGTGATAAGATTGTTTAAGAAACTTCACGATCCAGCGAGTGAGTATTAGTTAAGCTAACCTGTACAGAACATTTAGTCAACGAAATAGCATTATTTCATTATCTCTAAATTGGCTGGTCTTTGGATTCTTCTATTTTAGCAAATAATCTAAGAGAACTCCTGCCACAATGAAACTATTACAGCATTACGGCAATAGCTATCCCATAGAAATTTACAGTTACACCCTGTGTCTCTGTTCACTCCTTAAAGTGAGACAAATCCACCTCATAAAGTGATGTATTACTTTAAATGAACGCACTTACATGAAATGAGTAAATCACCTAAATAAACACATTATGAAGATGAAGGGAACTTACTAAAACTTTAAAAAAAAGTTGAAGTAATCTTAAAAAACTGGGGCAAGCCTACTTAGATAGGACACATATATATATATATATAACATTGATTATAATAATCACGCTGAATAGATACTGAAGTTAAGAAGCAGTTAGCAATGAAGGAAAAGAGATACAAAGTGTAGGCCGGATATTATAAAAAGGAAAGAAACATTCATCTAGTAAATATGAACAAAAATCTAATATAAGAAATAAAGAGGAAATGAATACCTTATACATGTTAGGAATATGTGTCATTAATTAAATTAAACTTTGTGCCAACATGGGGCCATTAAAATATAAAAAAAAAACTTCATAAAGTAACATTGAATAAACGACCATGAGTCATTTTTTGTCAGGCTGGATAATTTTCCACCTGATACTACTACTTAAAACTACACTATGTCCCAATGTTCAGTGTTAAAACTTAAACCTTTGGTAAAGTACGAATAATAAAATGGTCATGATGCAAATATAGGTGGAGAGTTCCTACAGAAATGAATAGGCTGGAAAGACATCATTACGCAAATACTAATGAGCATGTGGGAACAAAGTGTCGTTCACCAAGGTTATCCTTGATGGCAGTAGCCCACAATTGATGCGTTTCTTGTTGAAACAATCCTAGATCCTCTGACCCTTATTTATTTGAAAACAAAATCACTATAACTAACCAGTTACATTAAGTTCATGCTCGTGTAGCACGTAGGAACAAGAACATATGAAAGCTGGATCAAAGAATATACTTAAAACCAGGGAGCCAGTCGTCAGCTCTCAAGTAACTCAACGTCAGATTGAGTTAAAAAGTTGTCAGTCTGATAGAATTGAAGAAATGCAACAAGTTTCAACCTCTAAGCAAGTTTCTTATCATTCCTAAAGTGTAATATTGTTTAACAGTTAGAATTATCAAATAACCATTTAAATGAAAGATTATTTATTAAAGCAACATTGTACATAGCATTAATAAATTTTGTATTTTATTCTATCATTACAAATCTTTATCTTCTTTATTCTCATGTAAACTTCCTCAAATTGGTGATATATGCACTATTACCACTAACTGCATATTCGTAGTACTATTTGTAACTTTGTACTTGTCTCACGACAACTACCATTACATACTTATACAAACTTGTATGAATTGGAGCTCTCTCTACAGAATATGTCATTTGGTATAGTCATTGACATGGGTTATTTATGGATAATGGGATGATACTACACTGCAAACCTATGCCTAATTTCAAAGTGTAGTATAACATAAATCTTTCTATCTTTGTTACGTGGGGGCGTTATAATGTGACGGTCAATTCCACTATTCGTTGGTAAAAAAGTAGCCCAAGAGCTGGCGGTGGGTGGTGATGACTAGCTGCCTTACCTCTAGTCTTACACTGCTAAATTAGGGACTGCTAACGCAGATAGCCCTCGTGTAGCTTTGCGCGAAATTCAAAACAAACAAACAAATTGTCTTACGCAAACATTTAGGAAATCCTTCAGAAGCCAGTGAAGTCATAGAAGAAACTAAAAAACTGGTTTAGCTTTGAATATAGAAGCATTATTGCAAATAAAGCTTTGTTTCATTTGTTTATTTTTGTTTACTTGTTTTTTCTTTATCCTACACTCAACACTCCTGCATTTTGTAAATACATTAACTTATGTTTTGGAAATCAGTGTACATGAATACCACAGAATGTCAGTCTGGTCTCTCCTTTACTATTATAGATACTGACCTTATTTATGTGTGTGTGACAAGGCAATTTTCGCAATTCCGATGGATTTAAGAATGTATATAATATTAAGCAAAGTTAATTATTGGCCAAATCATTCCTTGTCACCGTGGATAGTAGTCATCTTACAATTTTATTTTAGCTGTTTTCAAAACCAAATAAGTAGACTTCAAGGCATTTTTTTACTACAGGTAAACTTTCTCGGAAATTAGATTTTGTGCTATTGTTATATTTAATACAAGTGATACTTTTGCTTCAAAATGAAGCAACTGTGTCCAACCTCTATTTATTTTGGCTGAGTTTGGTCTAGTTTGTTTAGTTATAACACATTTGTACTTTAGTTACAATGATCATAAGTTCTATAAGACTGTAGAATTTTATAAAAATAGCAATTTAATTTTATTTTACACATCAAAATCTAAATAACATATTTTAACATACTGAGGTACGAAACAACCCACAATATATCCTGTTTTATACCATGGTGTTTTGTTTGACACTACAAAATTTTCAAGTTTACGAGTTATTGTTTTTGTATTATTTTCTGGAACAAGGATTTTCCACAGAGTCGTCAATTTCCACTAACGGGAGGATTAGAGAATACTGATTAGAGGATTATAAATACTGTGTGTTTATATTTTTGCTCGATCTCTGACTGCGATCGTCATAAAGAAAGAGTCAAAACACAGCTGGTTATTACAAACAAAAATCAAAGTCACAATACACAAGACAAAACAATGGTAGGAATTGGGGATGGATGTGTTGAACTGTCAAGAGAGATGTAGAGAAACCTTTAATTAGTTTGTTTGAAGTTAAGCACAAAGCTACAAAATGGGTTCTCTGAGCTCTTTCCACAAAGGGGATCGAAACTCGGTTTCTAGCGTTGTAAGTCCGCAGACACTGGGGGGCAGGAGAAAACTTTAATATATTTATCTTACCAATTAAGCGTGATCTCCCTTCTAAGCTATACAAAAGGAAAAGTTAAATGTAAAAATAGCATAACCCCAATAAGTTAATAATAAAGTAAATCAAACACTAACTTTAAACAATGCAGCAGTTAAACTCCATTAAAAGTTAAGGTTACTAACTAGAAAAAGATAAAAAATGAGAAGTCACTATAACGTTCAAAACTTACCCTTATAGGGAAAAACCTAGCTTTATATACAAAACACAATAACATCAACAAAACTAGATTTGCACATGCCTACACCTTGCACACCTGACCTTCGTCCATTGCGATCCGAGCAAAGGATATGTCAGACCCTGGCCATTATATGATTCACCGACAGAAAAGACAACTGACTATCTCAAAACGTTACAAGCTGTTTTTTCTGTAAGAAAACACGGCTAATTGGCAACTAGTGGATCCACATCTCTTGTGCACCAGAGAAAGGAAAGTTAAGATGTTTACATGTGCAACTTTCTGCGTCGAAACTGAACTGAAAGAAAAACAGAAATTTCGAAAAAATTATATACTAACTAAGAAGGTAGCTAACGCATGGTACAGTCCTGTGCCATATACTGAAGTGCTAAGAACTCAAGCGTGGCCCAGTAGTAAACGTGTCGGACTGTGGAGCTGATCGAGGTTCCTTTATTTGCCTCCCCTTTCTCAGGCCAAAAACATTGCGCTTTGCACTTTGGGGTCATGTGTGTATTATAAGAGTGACGGTAAAACTACACTATTCTGTCTTACAAGATTAGCCCAAGAGTAGGCAATTTGTGGTGTTGATCAGCGACCTTCCTTCTAGTCTATAACTTCTATATTAAGAATGGCTAGCGCAGACACACAAACAAACAAAGTAGTAATATATCCTACAAATAACACGATTTTTGACATTTCAAAGCTCCAAATGTTTTGCGTATTAAAAAAATGTTTGTGCCGAAAGGTTCTTTTTCATAATTTTACGTGCTCCGAATCCCCAGTTAGTGTCTTAAAAATCAGAACAGAAAACCATGATCGAAATCATACTGAAACGCCAAAAATTCCGCCCAAGAACCTAGTTATGCCTCTGTTTATATTCCTAGTTTTGTTTTATTTACTTTTTAATGTACATACATCTAATGCAACTGACCATTTAACTGGTAAACTGACGGTTCCAACAAAAGAAAAATACAAAAGTGTGTAATTATTGAAAATTCAAAATCTTAATTCTTCAACACTTCTTTTTTCGTTTATGCGAGTCATAGAGTATGGTATATATATATATATATATATTGTCCCAGATTTTTCATGTGGTAGGTGGCGTTACTTAAAATTCAAAGTTAAAAAGTAATTTTACTTTTTAGTGTTATTTCACATATCCGAAAAAAATGGCTAGTTCGAAGAAATATGACAAACCAAGTATACTTAAACACGCTGCTATGCAAATTATATCCGGAGGCTCTGCAGGTAGATATATTATCTATGGAAAACTTGTATTCCAATTTATGTTACTACTTTAACATAACGGTATATTCGCTCAACGTGTCGGAGATAAGCCACACGATTTTGATATAACTTCAGGCTTTAAACTTAAAAGTTTAGGTCTCGCGACCAATGCAAATTAATCAAAATTCTGATATTGTGGATAAAACTCATTATTTCTTATTACAATATGAAGTAATAACACCACATTTTCATGTAAATAAATAAGCAAGTCTTACAGGTTTTAAGTATGGATCAATTACTTGAAATAAGTTGAATCTAGTTTATTGCTTAGGCTTAGTACTTAGTAAACAGCATAACACTATACAGTATAACCATAAGTTAACTTGTAAGTGTAACAATGATTAACAGCAGAAAAAAAAAACGTATGATATTGGTTTGTAAGTTGTATATATATTATGCTTTCTTAAGTCAGAATTAAATAAATGCAAATTAGTTAATTAATGTACATTTTAAGAATTGTTACTTTTTGTATGGTAATTGGAAGCTAGGAGCAATAGAAATATCTAGACTGTAATTGTAAAAACAGTTTTTGTGTGAAATATTTTGCCAGCATCCTAATATTTTAGTAAGTACTAATGTAGAGATCTAGATCATAAACGTCAGCCAAATTACCATCTCATGGAATGTTCAGTTATCAGTACTGTAACCTTTATATATAAATCATTTAAAGCTAGAAAATTGTGTTTTATAGGTGTGATATACACATATATTTTAACTTTTAAGTAATGAGCAAGAACTGCATTGTTCTGACAAAAATCTATCTAAAAGTTATTAATTAGTGATAAGAAGTAACTCACTGTCAGAATTTAGTTAAAAATTGTCAATGCCTAAATTGTTTTTAAGTAACTGAAAGTAATAAGTGCTAAATCAGTGAAAAAAATATTGAAAGTATGATTCACAGTATATCATAATTTGACCAAAATTAGGTTGTAAGTTTTAATTAAAACCAGTATTGTACAAGTAAAATATCAAATCATATATATTTTAGACCTTGTTCTTAACATTGAAGATAACATGATTGGAAATTCAGCTGTGCAGGAGCACTAAAGTGCTACTGTTCATAACATTATTGTTTTCAGTATTTTTGTTGAAACCAGTTGTGAAGTAATGAACATTGTTGTAGATTGAGAAAAGCTGACTTCCAAAAATTTGTAATATATTTTGAGAGAGAAAGATTATGTGACTAATCTGTGATGTTTTTGTTAATTCAGTTAAGGCAGTTGTAAGAATATCCTAAGGGAATAAATACTGGAATTAAATTTGTAATGAATAAAATATATCTAGTTTGTAACAGTGCAAAATTCACCTATTGGTAAAGCTTGTTTGTTTTGAATTTATGCACAAAGCTACACAAAGGGCTATCTGTGCTCTGCCCACCACAGGTATTGAAACCCAGTTTCTAGCATTGTAAGTCCGCAGACATACCACTGTGCCACTGGGGGGCTTGTTAAAGCTACAAGAAAGATCATGAAAATATTTGACTCTGAACATAAAATTTGGCTTAAAGGTTTTATTTATTATGCTCATGTAAACTACAAGTAAAAAAGGAGATTGAAGGTTATATTAGTTCCTTTACAGACTTTTAAAAGAATCTAATTATATAAGAAAGAAACATGGCTTATATGCTAAATGAGTGAAGAGATTTTTAAGCTAATCACCTTATTTAAACATGGGAAATAATTTTTTTAAATTCTATTTATGCTGAAAGAATAGTTACTTTTTTAATGCTTGAGGAGCTTTTTGGAAATGAAGATTGACTTTAGTAAGATTTACCTTAAATCTTGGAGAAGCATAATTGAGAGATAAAGGGGTCTATAACTATTATTTTTTAGAAGTCTTTTGACCTTGGGAAAGTTTCTGATGATTGGAAGATTACTGATGTAATTCCTATATTTAGGAAGAGGCAGGAAACTATAAGCTTATTACATGTTGCTCAACATTATTTCTAGATATGTGTTGAAATCTGTTGTCAAAAAAGTAATTTAGAAATTAAATTTTTTTTTCATCAAAAAGATATTTCAAGATATTAAATAGTAATTTGATGGGAAGTTATAAAAAGGATAGAATTAAACTTTTTACTTGCATATTGTAGGAAACAAAGAATGATTATAAAAATAATGAGAATTTTTCCATTAAAAAGAAAGTGATTAGTTTGCCTTTAAAAGGAATATATTAGGTCTTTTGTTCTTTGTTATATATCATTAATTTCAAAAGCTTATTGAACAGTAATATTGTAAAGTTTGCTTATGATACTGAAATGCTTGTAGTAGTTCATAGTATTAGTGAACGACAAAATATTCCAAATGAGTTTTAATATTAAGAGATATATAAAACTGGATATTTGTAAGACAATAAAAAGATGGTGGGAATAAGAATTTTTGATGTGATTGTGGATAAAGTACCAGAGCTCTCTGTTACAGTTTACATTGGTAAAACAGTGCAAATGATTCTTTATTGGAACTTTGAACTTAAGAATAAGAAACTTATTTTAGTCTAGCATATGACTGGTGAGGCCTGAGTTAGGAAATTATGTTCCATTTTGGTCCCCATTTCTAGAGAGGGATGTATTGGAAAGAGTGCATAGGTGAGCTTCTTAATTGGTTTAAGTAATTCAAGCTTTTTTGCCATTCATGGATGGGGCTGATTTCATGACAAGTGTCAGATTATTTTACAATAGTGGCAGAGTTTGAGGGTTTGAGGGTTTTTATGAGAGAGACAGACTGAGATTTCTATGTAGTGTAGAAATTTGGGCATATTTCGAAAAAACAAATAGGATCTTTATGCAGACAATAAAAAGAAAAGCAATGCATATATCCATTGTGAATGAGTAGACAGTCCTTTCTGTAGGTTGACTAATGGAGAACCTAACTATGAAAGCTTGCTTAATCTAAAATGTTAAAACAATTTCTTCATCTAATGGATGACATCACCATGCAACCTCTACTCCCTGACAGTATTGATCGACTGTCACTTTCAATCAGTGTCATACTCAGCCAGCCAAGGATACTCCATTTCTAGCCATTCAATAAGATTCTGAAATAACCTTATGGGCAAAGGAGGCATCACCAAAATTTATAATTGTATCTCCTAGTCCTACTATTCTCACTGTTGTGTAAAATACATAAATGCATAAATACTATTAATTCCTTTACAATCTTAAACATCTGAATCAGATCTCCTCAACTTTTATTTTTTTCAAGAGAAAACAATTTGAGAAATTTCAATCTCTCTTCTTATGACAACTCCTCCATCCCAGTAACCCTCCTCTAAACCCTTTCCAACAATTCAATGTCCTTCCTAAAGTAAGAAGCCCAAGACTGAACACAGTACTCCAAATGTGGCCTAACCAGTGACTTAAACAATGAAATTATAGTTTCTTTAGACTTGAATTCAATATGTCTGTACATACAATCTAAAATCCTATTTGCCTTACCACTAGCAACAACACACTGCTTGGATGGCTTAAGAGACTGATCAACCATTACACCATGATCTCCTTCTTTTATGACCTTGTTATGGTTATTCCCATCCAAAGATGATGTTGGCAGCAGTATTGATTGCTGCTGTTGAGCATGAAGCTGATGTCCTCAATCTCTGCAGCAACTTCACACTTCTTACTGCATAGGAAGGTTTAGGCATCTTGGAGCATTAGGGAACTTTAAGATTATCATTAAATTCTATCTTGGTATGGCTTAAGGCAAAAGAATAGATGAATAGAAATATTGTTCATGTCTGGTAAAACAAGAACAGCTCAGGAACTCTGATCCAAATATGGCACCTCAGCAAACCTGAGAGATAAGGTGACTAAAGCTAAAACATGACCTTAAATACCGAGTCCAAGTTTTAATTGGTTAAAGGTCCATCCAGAGGTGTAGGTTAAAGAAGGCTGTAAATCTCAGCTAAAACTGTAAACTAAGTACTGGTCAAACAATACATTCACAGGTTTAATCTGTATTCATGTCCATCCTTTCCCATAGAACCTCTGTCTGAGGAATGAGAGAACTTTGGACTTTGGATCTTATACTGTCAATTTAACTTAAGTTCAAGGTTGCCAACATCTCTTTTGACTGTTCACCATTACTAACACTTCCATTATCTTAGAGAATTTTTCTCATTTTTAAATCGTATATCAATCATGGCCCAAATTATATTTATAACTAGCACTTTTTCATGTCTCGAACTGTATTTCATAATGGAATAACATTAAGAAATTATTTGGTAAAATTGTTTGGGTATTAAAAATATGCCAGTCTGCCTGACTGGGAATATTCCTGTTATAATCAATTAAAATAGTTGGTGCACAACGATGTGTGTATATTATTCATGAGTTTTGTGTTATCCTGACAATTGTGCTAACTCACAAATATTTTAACTGAATCAAATTAGAATATCCTAACACTTTGCTTCTGTGAAACACCAGCTAAAACTGTGTCAGAAGCACAGGTCAAATTGTGTTCTCTGAAACCCAAGTTAAACTGTGCTTTCCCTCTCTTGTTATTGTATGAGCCCTTTATCTCTGTTGTCTTTTCATCAAAAATCCACAATCCTGCCAAACTTCTCAATGTCAAAGTTTAAACATTCTCTTGATGTTAATGAAAATCACAAGTACAGTGTAGTGTATTTTCCAGTAATTAGGTTATTCTATCACAGTTAACCTCTTATTTATTAATTCTTAACATTGAATAACATTCTTTGACTTTGATCTCTCTCAGATTTCTTAATATTTCATTCATCTCTTTATTATTTATTGACATTCTCTGTGTGTGATTTATTTTATTTATTTATTTTAATTTGTTTGAACATTTTTGAAGGACTCCATGGAATGCTTCCAAGATGTGCATGCTAGAACACGTGTTTGTTTACATATGGCCTTTGATATATATATATGCCATCATTACACTTTTGAATACTCCAGAAATTTATATAGCTGGTATCTGGCTACCAAATGAACAGCTTCAGTA